CTGTCTCACTCTCTTTCTCTCCCTCTCCTATCGGAGCACAATGAAAGCCTGTGTATCGCCGTGACTCGGGGCAGTGGAGCCAGTGTCAGCAAAGCGGCTAACAACAGACGGGAAAGAGAAAGGAAAATACAAGCTACTTTTTTTTTTTTTTCCCCCTCATCTATAAAGCGGAGCAATACAAGAGATAGAACCACATTGCTTATTGCGAGTCCAGACCCTCAGATCCACTGGCCGGGATGGAATGTACAAAAGTGGACAGAAAAGTGGCTGGATATGACTCGGTGCAATTTGCTGGAAGTTTGTAAGTTTGACCATCGTTTGTAAATTACTCTCGGAAGAGTTTCTCTCTCTTGATACTGTGTTAGAATAGAGCCGGGGGTGAGGAATAGAAACCTAAGCGGGAAAGAAAAAAAATGTGTTGAAGGATCTCTCTCAGTGGCTAGCGACTTCAGACTGCTTTCATTTAAGGCTAGGAAACCTTAGAGGGAATGAGGATTTTACCGGTGATTGGACTAGCTGAAGAAAAAAGAATGGTCCTAAAGTCCAGTTACTGACATTGTTAACAATCGAAAAGCTGTCTCCCTCTTTTGGGAGAAGACAACATCCTACAGCCCCCCAAAGAGGAGGAAACACCGGAGCGGAGGGAAAGGGAGGTGAAATTAAAAGTCAAAAGACAGTCTCTCTTGATTTTTGTACGTTGTGAACATTGACTTCAAAAACCTTCTGAAACAGCACTTTTTTTTTTTTAACCTGAGGGAAAGTAAAGGCTGTGGGTTACATAGACCTTGGTAGAAATGTGTTTCTCTGCAGAAACATCCCCATAAAGAATTTTCGGAAACAACTAGGTGAGGGGGAGTCCAGCTCTCTGTTAATACCTCTCCCAATTCCCTTTGCTGTCTGTTTCTGTCTCTGGCTTGACAATCCCACATTCTTGCTCTAACCCCCTAGATCGTGTGTTGACAAAGTACCTAGTGGCTCTTATCAGCTTGGTGGGGCGAAAAAAACCCCACCAACTCTGTCCAACTTCTCCAGAGCTGTCAAATGCAATTAGAGTAAGTTGATCAGGGTTTGTTTCCAACTTATCCTCTGTGGTTGGTTTCTATTCTTGCTCCTCATCCTCTTTTTACTAACGCCCCTCCCCCACACCTTCTCCACTGCTCCCCCCCACCTCTGAAGACCTCCATTCATGTGGCCCTGAACACTGAGCTCACATTGTCAAAAACAGATTTGCCTGCAATAGCCAGCAGTAGCCTCCTTCCACCTCACCATCCCAGAGGCAGCAATCATTGTGTCCGCCAAGATGGGGGACACAGCGCCCCCGCAGGCCCCCACCGGAGGGCTAGGGGGGGCCCCTGGGGCGGGGCTCCTTGGAGGGGGCTCAGTCACCCCAAGAGTGCACAGTGCTATCGTGGAGCGCCTCCGGGCTCGGATTGCCGTCTGCCGCCAGCACCACCTGAGCTGTGAAGGACGCTATGAACGTGGTAGGGCTGAGAGCTCAGACCGGGAAAGAGAGAGCACCCTGCAGCTCCTGAGCCTTGTCCAGCATGGCCAGGGGGCAAGGAAGACTGGCAAACACACCAAGGCCACTGCCACTGCTGCCACCACTACAGCCCCTCCACCACCCCCTGCTGCCCCTCCTACAGCCTCCCAAGCAGCGGTGACAGCAGCTCCACCGCCCCCACCAGACTATCACCATCACCACCAGCAGCACCTGCTGAACAGCAGCAATAATGGTGGCGGCGGTGGGATCGATGGAGAGCAGCAGCCACCAGCTTCAACCTCCGGGGACCAGAGGAACTCGGCCCTGATTGCGGTAAGGCTCCTGGTTTTCTCATGATTCTGGCTGTGGTCTTGTGGCCTTTTGTGAGGGTAGAACTTTCTGTGGCCTGATG